TTTTTAAATTTAAAATAAATCAATAAAAATTTAATACATGATATATACAATTAAAATAAAAATTAATTTTATTATTTTTAAAATAAATAATAATAATAATTAATAAATAATTATTTAATCATTGCTTTTTAAAGACACAAAATAAATAAATCTTTTGTTATATAAACAACAATTAATCAAGCTGACACAAAGTGTATACATATGCCATGAATTTCAGTTGAAGCAAAAGCAAAATTAAACAACTGACAATGAGATGGAGAAATATGAGATTCGGAGAAAGAGCATTACTAACCGCATCGCAATATTTGATTCACAGTGTCCGTTGGGCATTTCAACAAGCACTTGATTGCTACTCAAGACCAAGCTACTTCTCCTCGTCTACCCTCTGCTTTCCCCTATTTATTTATTCATTTATTTTCTGATTTTAACTTCAGTAAGTACGCAATTTATCCGTAAACTAGCTATAACAATGCCAGCTTAGCCCACCAATTCTGCCCAATAGAACAACGCCAGTTTAGCCCACAAATTCTGCCCAGTAGATGGAGATTTTGATAACTTCTTACGTTAACTATTCTTCAGCTGCTGTTGAAAACCTCTATTTCTTGCTTCTTCTTCTTTTTTATTTTTTTTTATTTTTTGAATTATTACTGTTACTTCATCTTATCTATATTGATTCAGCAGAAAAATAAAGAAAATGACTCAACGATAATGTTTTCGTGTTATTTTTTATATAATATTTTGTATCATTTAAATAAATAAATAATTTATTTATTTAAAATTTATAATATTAAATATATTTATTTTTTTAATAATATTTAAAAATTATATTAAAAAAATTATATTTATACTTTTTAAAGATATGTGATGTACATAATGTATCGTTATAGTGGTATTGGGATTCGTGGCTGCTTGAAACACATATTGGGAGGGTTAAAGCCAATTGTAGTCCTCGTACTTTGTGAAATTGTTCGTTACTGTCCCTCTACTAAGGAAATGTTCGATGTCGTCCTTCTACTTTCCTTAACAGCATAAATGTCGTCCCTCTACTACACATTTTTTGTTCAATGTCATCCCTAATGGGATGCCATCCACACTTCCGTTAATTTTGACCCGTTAATTACT